TTACAAAAACCAAACTAACCCAGAGTAGGATAGAAGTGTATATTACATCTTATATTAGAGGTGAGCAAGAGGGTGTAATTTAATTGTGGATCAAGTTTTGCAAATAGCTCAATAACCTTTTAGTATTCCCTCTCATTACACACAAATACATACTTGCTGTACCAGGGAAAAATATGTAACTGTCATTTTACATTACTCATGTCTAAAGTTGGATAGTAAATAAATATCTGAAGTTGAGAGAGAGAAAAAAAGCCACTTACTTTAATCTGTCCTCCAAATGTGTCATAGGAGAAAAACTGGCATTGATTTTGTCCATAACAAGACTCTTCCATTTCTCCTTGAATAAGTATATTTCTAGTCAGGAGACCAACTTCTGCCCTCATATCTATGCCATCTACAACTTCCCCGATATGAAGATAAAGTGGGCTGCCTGTGGGGGGCGGAGGGGGGAGTTATATATTTAAATTTAGCTAAGTTTACTATCTTCATTCACCACAGTTCTAAACACCTACACAATTTTCTAACAAGATTCAGTCAGTCATTTTACTTATAATGAATTTCTATGTGTTTCACAACTGTGAAGGGTCTGATCCTGCAAGTACTAAGCACTTCTGTTGAAATCACTGAGCAACCAGCCAGCAAACACAGGCGAGTAGTCTCATTGCCTTCAATGGACAACACTCTTTTGTGTAAACTTACGTGCATAAGTATTTGCAGGACTGGGTCCCAATTTTGCAAACTTCAGCTAAAGAGGAGTTAAAAGGTGACAAATATTTTTTGCACAGAAATAGCTTAAGAATATATGTCATACCATCAATCTTCACTTGATTACTTTTACATTCATGGCAAGGAAGGAGATTAAATTCTTCAGCTTGATGCATGGAATAGTCAGTGCTAGCAATGACTATCCTATCACCAGGTAACCAACTTGTAACTTCATCCACTAAATTAAGAATTATGCCTTTGGACACTTCCACTCTAAATCCATTATGAGGAATCCCTAGGGGGAAAAAAACAGTCAGTTATTCTTTACTGCTGTGTACCAGTGCATTTTGGATAATTGCACAGAGTATCTACTCAATCAATTTTAATGAAATAATTCAAGGTCTGGTATCCTTTTATGGGGCATAAAGACTACGCCCAATTATTATTTCATGACAATGTTTGTCTGTGATCCCCATGCATCTGACCAAGTTCTATAATATTAGTCTAAATTAGTTCAGATTTTAATGGCAGAAGAAAAAAGAAAAAAAAAAGAGCACACTACACCTTTTACCCATCCACTGAAAGCAGTGACTCTAAAATTGATTCCTTCGTAGGTTTGAAAATCTCTTCCTGCTATTGCTATCCCAGTTGTTCCATTCCCTTGATACTGTTTTCTATCTTCTGTTGTTGAAAACGGACCAGCTCCAAGGATCCCAACCAGAGCCCAGGGCTGCCTGAGTAAGATCAAGAAGAGTCTGATCATATTGACAGAAATACACCCTGTACCCTACAACCTTGAAAGAGCCTTTGTACATAGAATCCCTGTTAGAGAAAGTATTCTTAAAATAAAGCAAGCCTGGATTCTAGAATAATCTCCCATACAGCTCCCTTAATGACTGTTTTATTTATTTTATACACCAGTGGCTTGAAAAATATGAATGTTTCCTATTTACCGACGTTTGCTTGCTTTGATCTTATTAGTACACTATGCACGTGGGTATGCGTTTATATATAGTTTGGCGATCAGGCTTGTTAAAAGTAATGTTGAATTCAAAAACCCTCTTAGAGGGTAGGGAGTATTACAATCTGGAGCTGACAGCTGTCAGCTGTTAGGAAAGAGGCCCAGGAGCTGTCCATGGTGGCGCTACAGGTTTCCAACGCCTTCCTGCACACACACACACACTCTCTCTCTCTCTCTCTCTCTCGTGCTGACAGACACCATGTTCATGTCCTTGTGGAAAAGCCTAATCCAGGCACCGGAGAAGTTAGTTCTAGCCCGGTGTTCTCCTCTCTTTGGCGGTCACACACTAGTGCTGACCGCCCGCAGAATCAACACGCCTGGGGCTAGTTTGCGGTTAGCTTGGGTTGTGATCCCATGCTGGACTAGGTGGGCACGTGGATTAGGCTACAGCAGATCAAATATTCTTTGCCCAGAGGGCGAGGACTGAAGCTTTTGGGCTCGTGCATGAAGCAAATCCCCACGCGAACACCCCGCTCCGGTCTCACCTGTACCCCAGATGCAGGATGTGTTTGCTATGAAGAAGCTCCTTGAGGAGGAGTCGGGTCTCCAGAGTCAAACTCTTCGCTGCTGAGTCTCCTACTGCGGCTGCCACCACCTTGCCCGGAGCTTGGGTGGCTAGAAACTCCCGCAGCCTCCTGCTCTCGTCGGCCAGCAGGTGCGTGTCAAAGCGACCAGCGGCCACCACCCGGGCTGTGTCCGCATCAATGATCCGGATGTTGAGGCCTCGGCTGCTCCAGCGCTTCTCGGACTGGTAGGATCCATAGGGGAGCCCGCCCGCGTACAAGGTTTGGTCCAGCAGCGTCCAGGAGCGAGGCTTCTTCCCGTGTAATTCCAGGGTCCCCCCTCTGTCCACTCCCAGGAATTTCTTTCCGTAGTTCTCCACCTCCGGCTCCTCGGTGGCCTTCCCGTACAGCGAGATGGTGGCCCGGGAGTGGTAGGGGCACCGCTGGGAGCCAATGTGCAGCGCCCCGCCATCCTGAATGAGGATGTAGCGGGCCCTTAAGGCGATGAGCTGCTGCTGATCTGCAAACACCAGCGCCCCTGGAAGGGAAGTGGGGAGACTCGCACGTGACGCCAGCGACTCTTGCCCGGCTTTCCTGGGCACATGGCAGCCCGGCTAGCGGGGCGCAAGTCCCCTTCGGCCACCGGCAGGCCCGGCGCGGCATACAGGATCGTGGGGGCTGCAAGCGGGCGGGATCAGTGCACATCGCCCCCACACGCCAGGACATTGCTCTGACCCCCCCCCACCCCCATCCAGACTACGGGAGACCTCGGGTAAGTCTGAGCCGGGGGGCGCCCAGGTCTAGTGTCCAGTGACCCACCCCCTTCCTTGAGGGGATCAGGCCCCTGCGGTTCCCTGGGGGAGCCTGCTCCGTTCCCCAGGCTCTGGCCATGCCCGGCTGCAGCTCTCCCCCCAGACCGGGCTCTGAGCGGCTGGCCAGGCTCAGGGGAAGGCGGGCGCCAAGCCCCTGCTGGCTCCTTACCTCCGTCCTGAATGCGCAGCGAGTAGAAAGTCGCGGAGCTCTCCAGCCTCAGGGCCTCCCCCCTGCCGATGACCACCGAGCGGCTGCTGTCGTGCCCGGGACGCCAGGGAGTCAGGTGCGGGGCGCGCTCGGGACACGGCCCTGCAACACACAGGCGCACACGCCGGTTCAGTGCAGCCCGCCGCGCTCTGCCCGCAGCCCGGCTCCAAGCCCGGAGGATACGCACCTGTTGCGCTGGAGTTCGCCGCTCCACCCCTCTCGCAGGGGGCTGGGGGCTCCGGTTCCCGAGGGGGGCAGGCCCAGGAGAGGAGAAGGGCCGGGAGGAAAGTCCTTGGGAGGAGGATACCGCAGCACTGGCGAGACGCCCCCGGAGGCTCCTTGGTCGCTCTCGGACTCGTGCGCCCACGGAGAGCCGCGGTTCCATCCGGTCCTTGAGCCCTGCCCGGCTCGCGGCGGGGCTTTGCCGGCCTGAGCCCGGAGTAGCAGCAGGCACCTGCTGCCCGGGACGGAGGCTCACCCAGGCTGGGATAGCCCCACACGTGGCGATGGACGCTCCGAGCCCCAGACAGACACACACACACAGACACTTCATTCAAAGCATTTTATTCCCACCGGCCCCCGCTCTCCGCCCCCCCCCCCGGCGGGGCGGGCGCCTCTGCAGCCCCCTGTGGAGGAGTAAAGCGGCGCTGGGTACACGCTCCCCGCCCCGCAGACACGTGGGCTCCGGCGTCTGCAGGGGGCAAAGCTCCGGCGCA